TGGCAAGCCCGTTGCGATGATGATGTTCAAGACGTACGGCTACATCACAATGTACCAGGCGCTTCAGTTCACGTCCGACTTCAAGCTCGGTCACTACATGAAGATTCCGTATGTTCTTCCTTGCACTACTTACGCTCTCTCTCAAGCTAAGAGCCTTCTCTCAGTCCCCGCCCGATGTTCTGGTGTCAAGTCGTCGCGACCGTCATCGCTGGCACCGTGCAGCTCGGCGTGCAAGCCTGGATGTTCACCAACATCCCTGACATGTGCTCTCCGGACCAGAAGGACCACTTCATCTGCCCATCGACCGAGGTCTTCGGCACCGCATCGATCATCTGGGGTGTCATTGGCCCGCAGCGCCAGTTCTCGAGCGGCCAGATCTACTACGGGCTGGTGTTCTTCTTTCTCATCGGGGCGGTCCTCCCGTGCATCACGTACGTTATCTCGCTCAAGTGGCCGAACAGCGTCGTCAAGTACATCAACTTCCCCGTCATCTTCTCTGGGGTCGGGTACATCCCGCCTGCGAGCGCAGTCAACTACGTTCCATGGACGATCGTCGCGTTCATATTCAACTACGTCATCCGCCGCCGTCACTTCTCATGGTGGACAAAGTACAACTGTGAGTGCTTTCCTCCTCTCCCGCCCACCTTGGATGGCACGAGAGCAGACGCTGATGACACACGTGCACAACAGACATCCTGTCCGCGGGCCTGGACTCGGGCGTCGCCATCTCCGTGATCGTCATCTTCTTCTGCCTGCAGTATCCTAAGGGAGGGACCATTGGCGAGACGAACCTCTTGAATTGGTGGGGCAACACCGTCGGCGTCAACACCGCCGATGCCAACTCGGCAGCCCTCTTGCCCATCCCCGCGAAGGGCTGGTTCGGGCCCGACTCGTGGTGAGCTCACGCGCGAGCGCGTCTTGTCCACGGCGGGGCGGCGTGGTTATGGATCGTCGCGGTGGGCAGGCGCATGACACTGAGCGGGAAAGTAACCGTGATTCGGGACTAATGACGGTACCCAATGTATCATCATGTATCTCTCTTATGCTCCTGGGTTTGTGAGGTTGTCAGATAGGTGCACGCGCCTTGCACGCACTGTTGTACGTTGATAATGACACAATGACCATTTTTCACGCTCCTCGTGCTCTGAATGAACGCGTTGAGGCAGTCCACTAGCATCCGCCACAGGTAGTTCGGAAGTCTGCACGACACTCGAGCTGAAGGTACGCGGGCGTCTCCTCGAATACCACCAAGACAAACCACCATCTGCTAGCAACATCGATTGGGATCTTGAAGCTTGAGCCGGCAGTCACCGTCATCCCGGTGGCGTCTGCCTCGCAGATCCGCGAAGCATGCACATGCATAGAGGATGGAACATGATCGATCTGAGCAGTCGGGGCCCCAAGGTGGGTCGCGCGATCATTGCCAATGATCTTGGACGTCCTCGCATTCAATTGCAACCCTGCTTCGATTCGCAGTGCGGTCTATGAGCCCGCGGCGAGTACATATAGGTCAAGTGGGTGGAGAATAGAAGGCCGAGAACGACTATTCCAGGGAACAGCGTAAGTACTATTGTACTTGCCTAGTCGCCGGCGTAGTCTCCGTTGCTGACCATAAGGAAAGATGATAGTGATTCTCAATTTCGCCGGCGCAGGTGCAAGTTGAAGGCGGACCCTTTTGCCACTTATACCGGATGGACCAGGAGATGTGCTAAGCCGCTGAAGGTTCACGGCAGCCTGAACGTGGTCACTGGTCAGAACATACGGCGGCACGAAACACCTCAGTCAGGCTTGAGTCGAGCGGGGCTGCGGAATGGGACCAACGCCTCGCATGATGAGGATTCGTGTATAGGGCCTGTCCGTGCATACACGGTTCGCCGTACCCCGTATTACTGGCCTCACCTTCAGCATGCTAGCATATGCGTCGAGTGAGCCAACGATTACTTTGCAATGGATACTACAAGACGGGGTGTAGCGTACGTAGGTAGCCTGTTGCGCCGTGCTCCTTGTGGGCCTTCCTCTGGAACTGATGTATATAGGTGCACATGGCTGGAATGATCGTATCAGTATGTGTGATTGTTGAACTGCTGGCTACTGCTGGGCCCTGTCAATGGCCATGGAAGGAGATGCTCAGTACAACTTGGCTTGCTGATGGTTCACAACACTTACATGCTGTACACACGTACGCTCTTCAGGACCCCTGTTGCTCAGTCCGATGCCACGGCATGCGTGTTGTCAACGAGTTGTCATGGCCGACAGCTCTTGAAAGTTGAGGAGGAAGTGTGGGCCTAGGCTCCCGCTATACTACCCTCGCCCGACATTCCAGCCATGGAAGCGCCGGCGCCGCCACCGTGTCGGTCTTGAGCTTGACAGTTACTACGTCCACTGACTTCTCGCATGCACTTTACGAGGAACGGGTGCAAAGCGGGTGCTCTGCACCGGCTGCGCAGAACTTCTGACAAGTCGCGGGGCTAAGGGGACTTGCTGGAATATGCTAGGCACTGGGCAGGGCAACCGGGAGAACGGACTCTGTCGTCATCGTTTGCTCCAGTCCAAGACACAACGCACCCACGCTTATTACAGGCTCAGGACCAGGCCGGGACGGAATATATGCCCCCTCAAATATAGCTGCCCCGGGTTTGTCGCGAGTTCGATTTCTCCTCCCTTCTGCCCTCGACATACGCCGCTGCAGTGTACTCCTAGGCTCGGATGATCTTGCACTGCTCCTATCTGCGATCGCTCTGTCTAGCTGCCGGCGGCATCCTCCTCGCTGCGTCCACATCGTTCGCGCCGGCGCGGGCACAGAGTCTCACTAGCGACCAGCTCGACCAGGTCAAGGCGCGCCTTGCGGAGGGCGCGACGCACAGGTGTGTTTGTCGTGCTGCAGGTTCAACGAGTGCTTTGTAGGGCTCACACCCCTCTCCCCGCGTCTGCGCAGCTGGGAAATCGGCACGCGCGCACAAGCTCTCATCGAGTACGACACGCCCTCCTGGTCCGTGTTCAACTCGAGCTCCCTGCCCCCATCCCACTCCGCACCTTCGTCGCTCGACGAGGTTATCTCCATCGCACGCTCCGTCGTCAAGAACCGCACGAGCAGCGACATAAATGGCCCACAGCCCTTGATGGACGCGAAGGCGGCGCGGCGGGGGACCCACCCAGCATCGGCGTCGCGGTCCTGCTCGCGAACTGGACGGGGGCGGGATCGCAGGACAGCGTAGACTACGCGGGAGCGGCGAAGGACCAGCTGGACTATCTGCTGGAACAGGTGCCCAGGACGAGCGATGGGGCTATCTCGCATCGGACAGAGGAGGTCGCGCTATGGTGAGTACTCCTCCCATCCTACTTCTTCCCGTTATGGGTGCGTGTGGTTAGAAAACCTGCACGCATTCGGAAGGGGGGGTTGTTTGGGACCCGAATAGCGGCTGACGCGCGTGCAGGTCCGATTTCGTGTACATGGTCCCGCCGTTCCTCGCATACTACGGCGTCCTCACGCAGAACCAAACCCTGGTACAAGCGGCCTACGACCAGTGTCGCCTCTACCGACAGTACCTCGTCGACGACGATGCCGGTGGGATGTGGAAGCATATAGCGATGGGAAGCACCCCCGACAGCGGACACTGGACCACTGGTAAGTCACCTACTCCCCCTAGCCCGCATGTCCATGATTATCTCACGAGCGACGTTAACTCGTGTAGGCAATGGATGGGCCGCAGGAGGGATGCTGCGCGTACTGGGAACAATTCAACATTCCCCGTACTCCAAGAGCATGAAGAACCAGGCGAACGATCTCCGGAATTGGGTCGTTGAGATCCACAACGGCATATACCCCACGTGGTGAGTCTTCTCACACGACGTCCGAATGCAGATGCCGGAGGTCAGGACATGCATAGGAAATCCGTGACGAGTCTTCGTTTCCTGGCTTTTTGGCCTAAGCGCCCTTGAAAACAGAGGAAGTGATAGACCTCCTTAGCATTTCCCATGCATTCCTTGGCCTCTGGATTCTGCATCAGCACGTCGTGTCAGCTCCCGCCGCTAGTACGTACATCTTACCTTACACGTTTCTAGCAATCGACTGGGCTCTTCAAGAACTACGCAGACGACAGTTCCACGTTTGAAGACGCCTCCGGCACCGCGATTCTCGCCAGCACAGTGTACCGCCTGGCTCTCCTTGCGGGCGTGCATACGCATCTTCCTGCCGCCGAGAAGAGCCGCACCGCGCTTTCCTCCCCGGCGTCGTCTTCCTCATTCTCCTCATCCTCCTCGTCCTCTTCCTCGTCCTCCTCTCACTCCTCTGCCTCCTCTCACTCATCTTCCTCCGCTCAGTCCTCCTCCACGAGTACGAGCACCGCCCCCTCGTCGACGCTCGCGCACTTCACGTCGGACATGTGGCTGACCCCGGTCGTCAACCCGGACTCGTTCGGGAACCAGGGCACCCGGAGCCCCGAGGGCCAGGCGTTCGTCGTGGAGATGTACGCTGCGTACCGCGACTGGGTCGAGGCCGGGTCCCCCGGAGCGAACGCTGCTGTGCGGGTGCATGCGGCAGAAGGTGCGGTCTTGCTCGCCTTCCTTTCTTCTGTGCTGTTGCTCGTCGTGGTGTGATGGACGAAGAGCACCAATCGCAAGCCTCGGTATCGTTATTCGGTATTCTTGCCCGGGCCCGGACATGTTGCATGACTATACCCACTGTACACTGGAGTCTACCAGTACCCCAGTACAGGATTGGAAGTGTCTTTTTTGGATATGTTGCTGGACTTGTTGCTTTGCGGACACTGCGTCGATGTACACCGTACTCTAGCCCTGACGTTGTAATCTACGAGTATACCTTTCAGTGCTCCCGTAGTGTTGCAGGAAATGGGATGCTCGTCTGTGCAATATCGACCACATTAATTGCCGAGTGCTGGATGGCAGGACTGGTATGTCCGCGTCAAGTGGATTAGGTATGAGATGGGAGGGGGGGGGGGCTTGTGGCCGTCATCCGATAAAAAGGAACACAGAAAACAACTAGCCCACCGCGAGGGTCGAACTCGCAGCCTTCAGATGGCTCCAAACCAAGCTGGATAAGAGTCTGACGCTCTATCCGATTGAGCTAGGCGGGCCATGCTAACCTAGACATTGTAAAAACCCTACCCCGCATGGCGCCTTGTGCTCAACGCGATCACATGATCCGTGGGAAAGCTCCGGGCGCTATTAGTGGTCGCGCTGCACGACAAGCAACACCTCTTCTTCGACAATCAGGACCTGTTCCTCAACATTGTCCTCGTCCTCCTCATTCTCTCCCATATTATGTCTGGCTGTGCACCTGCATATATTGGACGACCCCCTCCACATTGGAAGCGAAAGTGGAGAGAATGGGAGCAACGAGCACGAGAGCGAGAAGAGCAAGAACGGGAGCTGTCTCCCGCGGTCCCGGATCCTCCTATAACACCGTCGCGTAGTGCAATATTTGGGTCGCCCGAGGAATGGGCGCGTGTATACAAGACTTACGCCCACAAACGTGCGCGATCCCGAGCCAGCTCTGTCGCAGATGAGCCAGACGACGCGCAACATGGAGGTGAGTATTTTCGTCGACTGTATGCTCCCAGGGAGCGATGTTCAAGCCTCTGCAGCGTCGCGAGAGTCGTTCCCTGAGCCTTCACCGACGAAAGTACCGAATATGCCCGCATATAGCGACCTAAACCACCCGTCGACGCGCACGAGAAGAGCACAGAGCGGAGCCGAACGTCAAGTCGCGAATCCCTCCTCCGTGGCAGGCCCCTCCTCGTCCCGAAGTCCGAACATCCGCCCGCGGCCGTCATCCCTCACTGTCTTCGTAGAAATCTCGCATCGTCGTCATCCACCACCCGCACAGTCAAAGGCTGCAGTAGCCGCCACACGCGTAGAACCCTCTAGAGGGCGTTCACACGACACGAAGGGAATCACCCTCCCCAGTCCTTCGCCTACCTCCGAAGAGAACGCCGACCCGCGTCCGAGGAAGCGGGTACGCCTACCTGAGGGTCCCAGCATGTCTCTCAGCGAGGCACTAAACCGCTCCTTCGCCGGGGCGAACTCGTCCCACCCCTCCCCGATAGGTGCGACCCCCGCTTCTTTCACTTCGTTACCCCTTCCCGCGGCAGGTCCTTCCGCGTCACCCGATTCCAACGCCTTCTTCAAGCGCAAGCCGGGCAGGCCGCGTGGACGCGGGCGAGGGCGAGGTCTTGCTCCAATGGACCCTGTGGTCCCCCATAGTGCCCTGTCAGGTGCTACAGGCCATGTAGCCACCAGCAGGATGCACGCCCCGCCGTTGGCGACAGGAAGCGAGGTGGCCTCTTCGAGCCGCGCACAGCCCGTACTAGCAGAAGGAGAGACAGAGTCTGCTGGCGAAGACATTCCTCCAGTGATTCCAGCCAAGAGACCTCGTGGACGACCACGCAAAGATTCGGCACTTCCTCCCCCCTCGCGAGCGTCCTCTCGACCTCGCCGCTCTGTGTCTCGTCGTCGGAGCTCGCAACAGGAGCAACAATCTTCGGACGCAGCGGCAGTCGCCGATCAGCTCACCCAAGACTTTGACACTCCGTCCCAGGTCCACTTGCAACAATCTGTGGACGTCCTTCCCGTGGCCATGGCACTCCAGGAGCAAGCCATGCGGGAAGGAGATCAGTCTTCCTCTTCCGCAAAGCGCCCCCGCGGACGCCCGAAGGGGAGCAAGAACAGGGCTACCTTGGAACGGGAGGCATCAGCAAGGGCAACAACTGAGACCGAGGACCAGGCAATGCAGGAAGTAGAGTCATCGCATCTTCCGCGGCCTCGAGGCCGTCCGAAGGGGAGCAAGAACAGGTCTACTTTGGAGCGGGAGGCACTGGCTAGGGCAGCATCCGAGCTAATTCTCTCTACAAACCCAATCGTGCCCGCACCCGCCCCAGTCAAACGTGGCCCAGGGCGACCACGAAAAAGCGCGCCCAACCCGCCTACCGTACCACTTGCGGACACTATGGACTATATGGAACCCCTCAAGGACCCGGACGCGGAGGACGTCCCTCATCCCTCGACCCTCCATCCTGGCCGTCGCGGCCGCTCACGCACGCGGCGCAATAGCACGCCAGCAGCACCGTCTCCGGCATACTACCTCGACACCACGACGCTGCAGTGGAAGCCCCGCGCGCGGTCTGCCTCCGCCTCCCCATCGAAGCGCCAGGTGAAAACGGCCGAGGGAACCAATGAGTACCAGACGAGCGCCCGATTGTGCGCGGCTCTGAAGCAGGAGCTGCTGCAGGCGCCGCACCCGAAGACAAAGGAGACGCAGACACCGGGCCAGGACGATGCGCCACGGGTTGCGCGTTCGGGCGCAGACCGGGGGGAGGACGCGCCCAAGGTGGTCTTCAGCGGGTGCTGGGAAGTCGTTGCAGACAAGAACGCCGTTTGCGACGATGCCCTCGCGCTCAAGATCCTGCACGACGTCGTGAAGCGGCTGGGTATATGCATCAAGTATGTGTCCTTGCGTCTTGAAATCAATTGCAACACTGACGTGCTGACGTTTGTCTCCTTCGCAGCTTTGGTGACGAGGGCCCAATATTCGCTAGGTCTGAGGATGGGAGTGCGGTCGCCATTGCGGTCCCGTGCGGGTGTCTATCGCTGCAAGAGCGCTCCTCGCCATCGGGCAGCGCGGACGCGTCTTCTCCGCCGCCAGAGTGTGCGGGGGAGATGACGGTTAGCATCACCGAGAAGGAGACCGAGAGATTCCCGGGGGCGAAGGCGCATCGTATTATCGTCACTGTCATGCACTAGCACGCCGAGGACGTGGCTCGGTTGTTCCATGCGTATGTACACGAGGAGGTTGGGTTTCTCCTGCGCTGTTGACGTTCGATTTCTCACTCTGAAGTTGTTCCGGCTTTCTCTCCCAGCATTGTTACGACCTTTGTCCGCTCTTGCTGGTGCCTGTATATCATGATGGCACGGTTGGTTTTAGTGTCGCATTGAATTCTGTCGGTTTAGTACACGAGCAGACATGACCTATGTATACGATAGTAATGGGACCTAAATAGCATATGTCACACGATACCGAGTCGCCCTAGTACCTGGTTGGCTCTTTTGCAAAAGCGAAGTCTGGTGGTTAATTCAAGATCTGTCGTCATTTCCGCATTAGGTAGTTCCATCGGCTCCTTCAAACACCTCTCGCAGCTCTCTCGCATTCTAATCCTTGTCTGGGTAAACATTTGAGACTTCTGCGGTAAAGTGAGGTTAACCCAAGTTACAGGCGGTCGTCCGGTCTCATCCGAGTCCTCACCCTCAACACCTTGGGATGTCAGTGGATCTAGAGTGCGGGACCGCAGCCACTCGCCGGCCGTACTTTCTGTTTGGATTGTGTGGGTCATGTACCGTGCTGCAGGCGTCCTGTGTGGCCAAGTGTCGCTGTCCTGCTGATGCGTCGCGCCCGGAACTTCATCTCTTCGGATGGTGAAACGAATAGTGATGACGACGCGGACTTCTTTCCCACCAGGAATATTTGGAGTAGGCCCAAGCTCAAGCTCTGCAAGGTAGACAGTTTCCTGCTTGGTGTATAATGTGAGTAGCATCTACAGTTCTGTTCTGACATGGTACATATGTACTTCACAAGCTGTGCGGTGCAATAACTTCCAGATCACAGTACGCCGCTCTCCTCCATCTTCGTCGCGCGCTGACGAACACTTCAACCTGGAGTATAAACTTGGTCGGTCGTCCTGTCCGAGTCTTATTGCGACCCCGTTGAAGTTCTTCATTCAGCCCTTGCTGTCGCAGCAATAAAATGAAAAGCTACCGAGAGGATCGGAATCTCGGCTATGGATCTGTTCCTGAATTCTGATCGCTCGGCAGCTCCGCCTTACGATCGCGGAAACAGAGCGCACTCAGGAGCGCAGTCCGTTGTTGCCGGGAAATCATCTCCATTTTGTTCTCTTCTCCGTTCAGGACCTCCTATAAAGCCTTGTAAATCTTCGTCAAGCTTTGCACGCAGGAGATTCCGTCGGGATTGTCGAATTGGGGGTTAAACGTCAACTCAGGAGAGCATTACGAATCACACGATAAGCTTAGCGTCGGCGGCCTCTGTGCCTTGCGCCACCGCTTGATGGACGTATGAGCAGGGGCAAGTCGCAAGCGGACGGTCTGGTTCCCAAGTCGCACTTTCACCTCTCGCCATCACCTTGCATCACCCTCGCTCACGCTGAAGACGCACCGGACGGCGAAGCGTACGCGCGACGCAGCGGCGCCTACTACTCAGCCATGGAAGAAGAGACCCACGTCCGGGATGTGCCTAGGGTAGGCCCGCGCTATATGGAGGTGAGTAACAAACAGCTTCTTCGCACGATACACCAGCACCCCCGACGTTCCACGCGAGAGGGGTCAAGGAAGGGGAGCAGGAGGCACTGGGCGCGCAGGGTGGGGATGATGCAGTGGATGGAAGTGTCGGACAGCTCATGGGACCATCTGCTTCGCGCCCTCTTCTCGCGGCGTGTCCGATGATTCGCTCGAGTCTCTGAGAAACGCATCACATCGGGTGGTCCAACGTACGACGACGTCGCTCATCTTTACCGCCTTGCGCTCGACCTCACTGCAGCGGCGCACGCCGACGTACATCTCATTAGGACCCATTGCTGCGTCATCTAAAGCAGTTAGCATGTGCCACATCCAGGGCCTTCTGCTTCTCACGCAATTAACAGCGCTCATAGCGCGCCCGATAGCGGTCGCGAAAGTGCCGGAGCACAGCGGCGAATTGATTCCATCCGTCAACCTCTACGTCCACCACTGATAGTCATATAGCCGTCGAGACTGCTCTGCTCACGACTTTTGCCTCCCCAGGTCCTGGCTCCCATCATGTCCTCCACGTACCTCGGGGAGGAGACGCAATCCTTAGCTTCATTGCAGGAGAACCTGGAGAAGCTAGCCGCAGTAGACGCGGAGAAGCATGGTGAGCGCCGCACTGGTGTGTTGCTCCGTATCTTCCCTGACGAGCAACTCGGATATGTAGTAGTGAACCATGAGTCTAGCCCGCACTACGGTCAACACTTCGTCATTCCGGAAGCGGAGTTTGACGATCCGAACTTTGACCCTGATGTGGTGATGCTTGGTGAGTGCATCGCTCAGTGAC